CGCCCCACAGAAAACGGCACATCCAGATTAACAGAATCCACTTTCTGGGCTCTCTTTCAAAAGACTTCTTCAATTCTAAAAGCTGATGGAGAGTCTCAGGTATTTGACCTGAAGTGGCTTCATCACTCCTGTTTGTGAGTCACTGCCCCAACCAAATCACGACAGTCCAGATAGTTTAAAAAAAGTATTACTAGCATTTAGAGTAAAGCTTTTCTATCGAACTATGTCACTGTTTTTCTCTATCTTTGAGGAAGGTGTGGTGACACCCGAACATGAATAACTGACAGTAAGTGTTTCAACATCTATCTGACAACATTTTTAAAAACAGTTTTGTGCAGACGTGAACAGACTGTCAGCTGCTACTGTTTTATGTAGCTGTACAAAACCTGAAGCTCTTTGCTTTTACAAGGCTGGAGGATCTTTTTTTTTTTTCCACTCCTTGTTTAGGTACTTTCTCTGCTCTGAGCAATCTTAAAAGTGCTTCCTTTTCTATTGTAAACAATGAGCAAAGGAACCGAGCACTTTGAAAAGATGTTCTTAGAGAGCACTCATCCCTGTGCTGGTTTTCTCTCTGTGACAAGGATAGAGTATCTCTCACTGGATAAAGTTTTCTCATTTTCTTTATGCATATTTCAGCAGCGCTACTTTTTGAAATCAACTTCAAGCTTACATGGCGTTCGACCTCTGTCGACGTCTGCGAGCTTTGTTGTGCAAATTTTGTCTAATGACCAAAACTTCCAAAAGGTACACGGTGCCACAAACAACTAGTCTGAATTCTTCGGATAATTTAAAAGTGATGTACACCTGCGACACAACAAGCTTCACAAAATGAAGCAGTTTTGTGTGCCCTCAACCTCTGAGAACATTTCAAGTCCACTAAAGATCCTCTTGCACCCTGCAGATATGGTTTTACTTCCTGTCACAGACCCTTGTTACACACATACAGGCTTAGACTTTGGTTACAAAGGCTTTGTGTGCATCTTTTCAAGTGGCAACAACAGCTAAAAATGAATTGTGAACATAGTTCGGATATATTTTGCACAGACGAGTCAAAACATATGCAGTAGTGTAGATAGGTCTGCCTGCTACCTATTCTCCAAACAACTGAGGGGGACAAAGTCAAACTCTTTAATGGGATATTTAGCTCGCAGCAAGACAGATTTAGCCAGTAAACAGAACAACTTCAAGAGCAGGCAATCCGCAACGGAGCGCAGAAGACTTTCTCACCGTGTTCACAAGGATCCAAATAAAAATTAAAATACCAAGGGCTCCATGGTGAGAGTGTATGTCTGTTATAGAGCAGGTTATAAATCATGCATGATCGCCTTTCTTCCCCGCTCTGAGACTGATGCTAACTGACGTGCACTTCTGTATCATAAACAGTAGCTCTCTCTGGTGGGAGCTGATTGTGTGAAAGCAGCTTAGGAAGATGAAGCCGGTAGCTGGGAGGGTGAAATTGTGATTCCATACAGCGCGGCGGGTTTTGTGAGGAGAGACGTCTGCTTCAGAGCAAACAAGACACGATAGTGCCGCTGGATTCTCGGCAGAATAGCGTCTGTCTACCGGGAACTGAGCGCACTTTAAATTTTAACCAGTCTTTCTCAAATCAAGACGTAGTTCCTGCACAGTCCCCTCGGAAACGCATCCAAACCCACACATGTTGGTGCTGATATTTATACTTTGAATTCTGGATGTTTAGCTGCTGTTGATTTTCCCGAGCTGAAGCTTGGCAGCGAGTGGGAGTAGCTGCAGCAGGATTTGACATTTCTGTTAGAGGACAGTCTGTCTCCAAGAAACTGCAGATCACCTTGACACTAAAAGTCTTGTGTGAATCACTGTCATTTACTGTCAAAAGAACAAAGTGAACTGAACTGAAGCCTGAGAGACGGAGCTCTGTTTTGGTCTCTCACTCTTTTGGAAGCTTGATGCTTTAGATGCCTTATGTAAAGGCAGTAGGTTCAGTGGTGAATGAAGCTGCATATCAAACCTGGGTATATTGTTTTATAAGAAATAACTCTCATGTCAATGCACCTAAATAATTTAAATTTATTCTTTGAAGTATTTCTTCCGGATTTCTGGATTTGGATATTGCTTGGGGTCACCTCTGCATGTGGGCCTTTTGATTTCTTACCATTCCAGTTATTAATTCATTTCCTTCTTAGCTCAGACTTTTCTTTGCATCAGCTTGTTGATCATGAGATAATTTATAGTCAGATGCTTTACGTAACGGGTCAAGTCATCTGCTCTTTTTGAGAATGTTGCAAAGTTTTGATGTTGGGATGACGGTGATGGAAAGCTTTTATTCTTTTACTGAGTCAGTGCTTTCATTTTCTGTGATTTTGTGGTTTGGTCTAAAAAGCAGGAAAGAACTGGAGAAAATTGTTGTGGTGTGCCGTGAGATTACCGGAGCCACTCGTAACAACCTTCAGCCTTTGTAGATGAAGGTCCTCTCGATGACGATCATCATTTTGGGCCCTCTGTGACTTGCAGATAGATTCAGACTGAAATATGTTCGTGCTACAGTTTACTTAATCACATTTTGAATTATTTCCCTTATGATTAATGGTGAAAGTGTAATGTTTTGATCTAGTATTGGGTTTCATGTATGTACTGTATGCATCTTGGACTTGGACTGTAATTTCACAGCAGTGTACCGAGAAACAAAATATTATCCTAAGAATAATCTAATTTAACCATAAAAATTGCATAATATAATTATACTACATTTTCTTTCAATATTTGACCATGAAGTTGTAGTTACAAAGATACGGTGAAGGCTAAATGCCTTACTCTACAATAACTGTATTAGGCTTCACCCTCCACTCGACCCTGAAATTCATAGGTGATTAAAAATATTAATGGATGGAGAAAACATTGCTAGGATCATAGCTGATTTCTTAGCTTTCTACAAGCTGTCTGTATATCTGGTTCTCTGAAGGAAATGTCTCAGCGTGTAATTTTGAATGCAGTTAGACGAAACGGCAACATAGCTGCAAGTAATTTAACAGGGGAGTTTGTAACTGTGTTGTGTTTTGTGTTTTTATAGCCTTTGCTGAAATTGCATTGGAAAAAATGGAAAAAAAACGAGCAACAAAGTCTCAGAAGAAATACTGAAAGAAATGCTGTAAATGTCCACTGTGCGATGCGTACTGATAGGCGAGTTCCTTCTGTTTTCGGTGGAACACATCCTGTACCTGAAAGATACTCGCATTGCTCAAAATGAGAACTCACTGTGATTTGTCCTCAGTAAGGCAAACCAAAACATAGCTAATGTGAGTCTATAAAAGTCTTGACACTTAGCAGCCAGCTTGGTGACAGCAGTTATTGTAAAGCCCGTATCTAAATGAACAGAGAGAGCCAAAACAAACTTCAGTGGTCACAGACACACTAAAAGCATTAGGTCTCCACTCAGATCGGATAAGAAACACTTTAAAAGTTTACCCACTTTCGTCCAGAATTTGGGCTTGTTTCCCCACGTTGTGCCTCTACTAGTTTAACAAAACTGTGGCTTCATTACACTTTAATATAAAGAGGTCACGTGGTCATTGTGGCTCATCCCACAAAGGCAAAGGCCAAGTGAAATTCACATTATGGATACAGAGAACGAAGATGCAACATATGTAGGCTACACATAAATCTTTACTGATCTTTAGCGAGTGGATATGCCTCCTACTGATAGCAATGTGAACCTCTGTTGTCCACATCCATGTGTGACAACATTACTGGCTCAGATATTTCCTTGTTCACCCTCTTAAATGGTTCTTTAGGGGGGAAGCAGCGTGACAACCTACACCTTTAGTGTCCTCTTTTGCCAAGTTAGCTTCCAGAAGCTTGACAAAGTTTAACCAGTTTGTTAAGTAATTGTTACCACAGACTCAGCAACAAGACAAATGCTGGCTGTAATTGCCTTCTCCTGCTGAGTCTGTGACCCCTCGCCTGCATTTCCTTTAAGAGCCTGGCCTTTCACTTGGATATCATCTGCTGTCACATTTCCCGTGTTTGTTACTCGTGTTTTATCAGCCGCTGGATGTGTCAAATTACTTCCTCGATGCTGATTCAAGGCGACGTCTCATTTATGTCGGCACTGAATGGCCATTTGTGATCGCTGTGGATGATTTGTTTTGATTGTCTGTTTGTGTTGGGAGGGTTGATGGTGACAGGGACCGACGTTTCCTTCCCACTTTTTTTTTGGCTTTTCCCTCCTTTTGCTTTTTATTTCTCCCCCCTCTTTACACGAACACACCTCCCTCTTTTCTACATTTCTGCCTCTAAATGTCATCCCTCCTTCCTTCCTCCTCCCACTCATGTTCTTCTTTTTTTCCTAATGCCACAATCCCTTTTTGCTTCTTTCCTCTCATACCTCCCTGCCCTAATCCTTCACTTCTGTCTTCTCCGTCCACTGTCTCCTTCCTTTTCCTTCCTAATTAAGCTCTCCTCTCTGTTTCCCCTCTAACTCTCAACCTCTCCTCCATGGTTTCCACTCTAATCCCTCATTTATCTTTTTTTTTTTTTTTTACCCTATATCCCGCCTTCCTTCCTTTCTTCCTTCCTACCTCGGTCCTTGTTCTCCCTGACAACACATACTGCGTTATGTAATCTACGTCTCTGGGTATTAGTTATGCAAATTCATACATTTTTATTTATGTATATTTTTTCTCTCCTCCCTCCATCCCCTTCTTTTATCCTCCCCTACCTTGCTTCCTTCACTTCCTACACCTCCCTTCTTCTCCGCCCCTTCTTTATCTTTTTATCTTTTCTTTTCCCCATCAATCTCTCTTCCTTGCCATCCTCCCTTTTTTCCCTCCAATTCTCTTTGCTTCTCTTCTCTTCTTTCCCAACCATTCCTCTGTTTTTCCCTTTCCCCTTCCCACTTTACTCTAAATAATCTTGTTTCCCTCCATCTCCCCTCTCTTACCCGCCACTGCTCTTTCCCTCCATCCATCACTTCCTCTCCACATCCCTCCCTCCCATCCTTTTTTCCCCTCCCTCTTCTCCTCCAGCCACCAGCGGACTAGAGGCAGAGAGCGGCAGGCGCGGTGGCAGCAGCAGCAGCCACGGCGATGGAAACCACAGCAGCAGCAGCGGCGGCGGCGGAGGCAGCAGCAGCGGCGGCGGCACGGCCCACTTCAGGTCTCCATGGCAACAGAGCGTGAACGTGTTCGGCTCGTGGAGCAGGCCGGAGTGTGTCGAGGAGCTGCACCAGCAGGCGCAGCTCAACCTCCAGAGCCTACTGCAAGGTAAGGATGCATGGAGAGGAGGAGAAGAGGAGGGATTGGATGGATCGAGGGAATGTGTGCGTGTGTGTGTTGTGTTTTGAGTGGGTGGGAGAGGCATGGAGGAAGAAGCGGAGGTGGGTGGGAGACTGTTTACACGCGCGTGTGTGTATGTGTGGTGTTGGACTGCACTGATATGGGTGTGTGTCGGACACTTTAAACATGCATGTGTGTGTTTGCATGCAGATATGCCGTGCGGAAGGGTGTGCGAGTTAGATTCCCCCTCATATGTGGTGCTTATGTTGTGCTGTAGAGTGTGTGTGTGTGTGTGTGTGCGTGCTGGCTTAGAGTAGCACTGCTCATACGTGTTGGATTCACCTTGCAGGGTTGTTCTTAAGAGTAGTATTTTATCATTCAGTGTGTGTGTGTGTGTGTGTGTGTGTGTGTGTGTGTGTGTGTTGAAGGAATGATCACTACTGCAGAAACGGGCATGTTTACATTATAGTTGGCAGTCCATGTTTGTAACTCTGCCATGGTGTTATTTTTTTAAGGTGAATGCTGCCATCTTAATATTAATCTCTTGTTTACTGAAGAAACTGCTCTGGTTGTATACACTGTGCAACCTCTGTGTGTGCGCGTGTGTGTGTGTATGCAAATTAGCCCTCAGGGGAACAAGGTTTTCCATTTGTTCTCAGGTACTGTTTCTCTTCTGTCCCCTCCTGCCAGTTGCTTCTCCATCACTCTCTCTTTCTCTCTCTCCCTCTTGTTCTCGCTCTGTGACTCATACTGTCTCGCCCTTTGCCCGGCCCTTCCATTAAAACAATCAAAGTGGGTTGTTAGCTGAATGAACGAGGGGGGGGCTGAATGGCAGCGAGACAACCTTGAACACCTGAGAGAAGGAATGAATGAACAAGTAGGATCTTACAGCACATTTCATGTCTTTTCATTGTACTGATTTTTTTTGTTGCATTTGTTCTTAGTTAGTTGTCTAAAAATTTCCAGATTTGCCAACAAATCTATAACCAAAGCAAACAAAGTAACTACATTTGAAATCCATCTCTCGGTACGCTTGCTTTTCTACCCATCTTTGGTCAATTTGCACTTGAGTCGAAGGCAAAGGACTTCTTTTTGGGTTCTTGAAAATGTTTTACTTTGCAGTGGAGAGGCTGCTTCTTCTAAAGCTGATGGGAAATCCTGTTTAACATTTAGTGGGCCTTTCACTAGACATCTCATAATCATCCTTGGAATAATCTCCATCAGGGTTTAAATACTCTTTACTTTTCCAAGGAAACTTTTCGGATGAGAGAAGAAGTCCAACTGCTTTCAGCTCACGCGCTTAAGACCACTGAAGACAGAAAGATATACCACTGTTATACATTATAGAGATAAATATTTTGGGCCAGGCCTCTTAATCTTTGAGTGATTTCACTTTTGTTGTCACAGATCTATAAAATCATGGTGTTGTAACAGGATGTGACAGAATGTGAAATGTCTTCTCTCTCTAAGAGATATTATTACATAGAGGAAGGTTTTAGGAACCACAGCAGCTCTGACCACATAAAGGTACAGAGCATGGCTGCTGGGCGCTGAGGTGCATAGTGTGTAAAAGACACCAGCGTTCTGCTGACTCAGTAACTCCAGATCTCCAAACCTTCTCTGGCATTAGCATCAGCACAAAAACTGTACACAGGGAGCTTCGTGGTAATGGACTATCATGGCTCAGCAGCTCTTGCAGTACTTTGGTCGTTACGCTCTATGTCAGTTGTTGCAGATTTAACTTTATGAAGAGTAAGTAGTACATACAATGTGTTCAGAACTATTTTTCATTGTGGATTAATACACATTTGGCACTCCAGTGATTGCAGGGTACCGTGCCATATGTAGTTAAGCTAAATTCCACTGTTACTGTTCTCTGTTGGAATAGACTGGAGCCCTGGTACAGGCATTTGGTATATATGTTTTAGAAATCAAAAGCTTTGTATAACACACAAGAATAACTCAAACAAAAGCTTCATATTGAAAGAAAATTTACTGTCACAGTGGTGCATTCTGTTAAAAACCGAGGCAAATGTATACTGATGGATTCTGTGTTTTGCACATTCCCTAAACATAAAGTTACTGACCACGGAGAAATTAAAAGAAACAAGTAAGTATAACTCAAGTCAAAGTTTGTTATAAATATGCTATAGAAATAATCTCAGTTGGCCAATGTTCTCTGTATTATACAAAATATCCTATGCATAGCAGCCACTAAATCCACATTAAGAATAATCAGATAAAGTAGTACTGTACTATAAATAAGACTGTGTTTGCATAATAAAACCCAGATTACAGAGAATAAGTAGGTTTTTTAACACTGTTTTAAAATGACAGAGACTGGGAGCTTACATGAAAATGCCCAAAGATTAGGAGACGCCATTGAAAAAGTCCTGTCGCCTCTGCTTCTGCTTTTGAACCACACGTTGGTGCAACACTTGCTTCCAGAACAGCCTTGGCAATGATTCTAAAGGTCTGAATAAATGGAAGACCATTAACCTGAAACCTAATGGCTTTTGAAGATCCCACAGTTTTCCAGTGGGTTGAGGTCTCATAACTGCACTGCATATAATTAACATATTTATATATGTCCATCTCTTATATTTAAATCTGATAATTTACCATTATCTGGTCTAAGTACTCCCATTGAGATGGCCAATGTGTACTGCCCAGGATGTACTCTTTTGCCCGTTGACAGTGATGATAGGGCAAGCACACCCTCTTCCTCAGCACAACATCTCCACTGATCCAATCCACTAGCAACTCTAGGCAGAAAACAAGACGGGGTCTTACCTTTACTTTACATAAACCTCACTGCAGACAACTCTAAAGCTGACCCAGCTGCTACAACCTGACATTAGAATAGCTGCATTGCAAGAAAAGGAACTGGTTACCCCGGTAACCGTCAGACTTGGTCATAGCAACTAGTGTGAGCTTCTTCTTTTAAGGTAGGATTGTCCAACAGACTGCAGAGGCAAGGAGGTAATAGAAGCTCCTGGTCTAGTGTCTCCTCCAAGTTTCCCTTCCTCGTGTTTCTCCATATAGTTTCCATAATCAGCTGTCCCACCCATAGTTCCACCATGCAGCTGCTAAAAGGCCCACAGCATCATGCTCCTTAGTTTAGGTTTGGCTTTCCAAACCTTTTGTCACATTGCTCACTCAGATCAGTTATCCTTTATTTAGTCTGGCATGGTGTAATTAGACAACTATAGGATCTAAATAAACATGCAAGATACACATTGAACCCAAATATTCCGCCTTGTGACTTTGAGGCTAGAAATCACTCAGTTTGTTAAAGGCATCTGAGAAATTCTGGCAAGTTCTCATTTTACTATCTGGTTAAAGTTCTTAATACATAAAAAAAGTTATGGTACACATTTACGTTAAAAGTTAAACATAATGAGTCATTCATTATCAATTAAGCCACAGTTTTTCCACTTTTTGTCTCTCCTGCTGTCTGCTAGTGCGACTGCTGCCATTACAACGAAATGATACTTTAGCGAGGCGAAAAAACCTAGCCGTGCTTTCATGTGGTAGCATTTCGGACCACGGCTCTCACAATGTGAGCGATTCTTAATTTGCAACACAAACTGGAACAAAACACAGTGAATGTGCTAAACTTACGTTTACTCTGTAATTTTCACACTTTTGTGAGTCTACAGTGAGTTTCTGGCTCCACAGACAGCATGTTCGACACCCCCTGCTGTAAGTGACAAGTCCTCCCAGACTTCAGCAACAAAACGTCTCCTGTAGTTTAAGAGAACCACCAAATCCCTTTACTGTAGAGTTCAGGTTTTATCTATTAGTCTTATGTCATTCCCAGCCATCTGTGGCCATCTAGCTAATGGCTTGTCCTGCTGTCATCTATTTCCTTAACAGCCTGTCTAACTTAAGGTCAAGAGGGCTGGAGCCTAGCCTGGCTGTCATACAGTGAGACAAAGATGTGTACCACCACTATATACCATTGAAAGAAACTAAAGGACAATACCAAGATCTATAGTGTATACATGTAAGCATGTAAGCATGTATTTTCATGCATTCTGGCTTTTTACTCTATTAGAACAGTTCTGGTCGGACTCGTGTGAGACCTGTCCAGAGTCCTTAGCCTCAGCATCCCACAATCCCCTCTGTTTGACCTATAGGTAACTTATCCTCATTGACCATACCCAGAGACCTTCAAACTTAGATCTCAATAGCTTTAACCATCACCAGAAAGAACAATTTTATTAACTGGAAAAAGAGAACAAAATCATCAATAAATCAGTAGCTCGATTTTCCAACAGATCATGCAAATTTAGAAAAATTTACTTTATGTATTTGGAACAAAAACAAGCAAAAATAACATAAAGACTGCCCATCGTGAGTCTTACAAACAACTCACCTCTTCACTGTACTATTTCTATTTGTTTGTTTGACCACTGCTTGATCCACTGATCCCCCTGTGGTCCCTCATATGGGTCAGCTTTTTGTGCAAAGTCCTCCACTGGAGGACGGACCCAATTAACTTCTTTGGCCTAAGCCAGGCTGGGCCCCATAGGCTACGGCCTCCACCCCAGTCCTGGCTGCACGGTAGGACCCCGTAACCCTGTCTCAGCCAGGTTACACTGGATGCTTGTTTTTTTTCCCTTAACACAGGGGTCTTTGAGTCACTTTTTCTGGTCCTTTCTGGACTAATTTGCATTGGAAGATCCTACCAAAGTTTAATTGGCCCTGACAACATAACTCCTGGGATCACCAATACACATAAACCCCCTCCATCGAGATAAGGTATCGATTCATGTGGTGGGTGGGCAGTAAGGAGCGTGGACATTCAAGAGGGACTCGGTGTAGAGCCACTACTCCTCCACATCAAAAGGAGTCAGTTGAGGTTCTTAGGGCATCTGACTTGGATTCCTTCTGGACACCTGCTAGGTGAGGTATTCTGTGCATGTCCTAGGAGGTCCCAGGGCAGACCCAGGACTCGCTGGAGAGATTATATCTCTGGTTTG